GGAAGCCAGGAATGTCTGCTCTTCCTGCCTCTAGCTCCTTAGTGCTAGGAATGTAGGTGTGGACCACCAGGCCAGGTTTGTAGTGCTGGAGACTGAATCTAAGCACTGCTTAACACACCACAGAAAATCACCAAGTAGAGCACACTGTCCCTCCCTCCTGCAGCGCCTCAGTGTTTATTCACAGCAGATACATCCACTAAAGGTGTGAGGTAATATATCCAGTGCTTTCTGCAATCAGCAACACAGTTTTTTCAAAGTTATGTGATTGGAAGCAGAAATGAAAGAACACACACATAAAGAACAGAAAAAATGCATAGAACCAAAACTGGGGAACAAAGGGGGCAGGTAGAAGAGGGAGGAGGGCTGTGTTAGGGGGATATGCACCAAGCACTATGCATTATACACCTACATGAAAATGGCCAAAACTGAACCAGATAACATGGCCCAGTAGTGAAAAGCACACACCCCAGAGTTCTTGGGCTGGAACCTCGTTCTAGTCATTCTCTAGCTCAATCATACCTTGATTAAATTAAATTAAATTAAAAATAAATTACTGTTATTTTTAAATGGAGTAATACTTATCCATACATGGAAAGACTGTTTCTTTTAAAGATTTATTTTTAATTATACATATGTGTGCCTATGTGCAGGTAGGTGCCCATGGATGCCTGGAGCTGGAGTTACTGGTAGTTGAGGCTGCATAGAATGGGTTTGGGAAACCAAACTTGGGTCCTCTGCAAGAGCAAGGTGTATTTAAAGAGCTCATGAGTGTAAGGAAGACTGATTTCTGGGTACTTGCTACTAATATTATTATCCAAGTTGTACACTGAATTCCAGCAGGAAGGTCTTTATAGCTCATATTTCAGTTTTTACTTCACAAGTCATTTTTATTTTTTATTCTCAAAAAAAAAATGTCATTTTGAATAAAGAAAGTGTTTTTCTCACTAAAGGAATTTTACCTTCCAAGTTTCTGCCCTTCTCCACTAAAAGCTTTGAATCGCAATCTGGGTTTTATGTACTCTTGGTCTTGATGATCCTCCATATCCAGACTCACTTGGCTGCCATGGACCAGTCGCTGAAGCTCCAGGGGAATCTCTCTTAAAAGGAGGGAGAGAAGGTTTTAGTTAAGATTGTTAAAAAGTATACTTCTCCACTGTTCTAATTAAATCATGAGCTACATGCTAACAAAACTTTCCATGGTGATTTTAGAGATCATTTAGTTCAAGTTACCTCATACTTTTTAAATTTTATACTTTAAATGTATGAGTGCTTTGTCTATATGTGTGTCTATGTACCATGTGCATGCCTCCCGCCCTTGGAGGATTAAAGCCCCTGGAACTGGAGACACAGAAGGTTGTAAAGCACTATGTGAATGTTGGTCCCCTGGGAAAGCAGCTAGTGCCGAGCCATCTCTTCTAGCTAGTCACACTGTTCTTTAGTGACTCTTAACATAGAAATGTTTTAGTTGTCACAACAACCTTGGGGTATACCTAGAAAGTCAGATTATAAGACAGCAATTGATACTTAAATTAGCACAAGAAAATTCCTATATGGCTTAAAAGTTAATTCAAATATTTTTGTTTGTTTCTTTGAAATAGGGTCTCACACTGTGGCTCAGGCTAGGCTGGAGTTCAGTATACAGGTCAGGCTAGTTGCAAACTCATAGCAATCCTTCTGTTTAGACTCTCAAGTATTGGGAGTCTGCACATATTTAAATCTAATGTCCCTTCTGAGTGTCAGTTGACTCTTGAGCACTGCCATGTTTCAGCATGAAGGACGGGCTGTGAGACATGGCCATGACAGAGTCATCTTTTTTCTTTTCTTTAAATTAAAAATTGTTTTAGGTCACAGGAAGAAAAGGTGAGTGACCTGGCTGCCAGCTGAATACTCCCTGGGTTCTATTCCCACAGACCCATCTCATAGCCCATGCCCTCCCAGCTCATCATCTGCCCCACTTCTAGGCCCTGTCCCCAACCCCAGCAGACTTCCGCTGCTGCTCAGATACAGGCCATGCCAGTCAGAAGAACAGAGACCTCCTGCTGCAACAAAAGCCAAGCTAGCCACCAAAAGGCCAGCCCCCAACTTTGACAGAGAGTCCCTACTAGATCAGAGGTCGCGCCAGCCACAAGAAATTCAGACCACAAAGTTCAGAAGACCAGCGAGGAAACAGAAGCCAGGGAACAAAATACCCATCCAAACAAGCATACTCAGAAATCAGTACCTAGGCATATAATCATCCCAAACCCAGATGACTAAATGCCAGTGTAAGAACAACTGGCAATCAACAACAACCAGGGCAATATGGTACTACCATAGCCCAGCTATCTTATGATGCCAAGACCTGAATATTTCAACACAGCTGAAAAACAAGAAAATGACTTTAAAAAAAGAAAACTTTATGCAGATGATAGAGATCCTTAAAGAGGAAATAAAAAAAAATTTAAAGAAATAGAGGGCAGGCCTTTAATCCCAACACCCGGGAGGTAGAGGCAGGTGGACTCTGTGAGTTCGAGGCCAGCATGATCTACAGAGCGAGTGCCAGGATAGGCTTAAAAGCTACAGAGAGAAACCCTGTCTCAAAAAACAAAAAATAAAAACAAAAACAAAACAAACAAACAGAAAGAGAAATAGAGGGCAAGACAACAAAAAAAAAAATGGAGGAAATAAAAAAAATCCCTTAAGGAATGAAGAAAAACAAGAAAAAAAAACAAGCAAACAAAAACAAAAACAAAAACAAAAAACAAGCAAAACAAGCAGGTGAAGGAAACTATTCAAGACCTGAAAATTGAAATGGAAGCAATAAAGAAAACACAGAGGGAATTCTGGAGATGGAAAATCTGGGTAAGCAAACAGAAACTAAAGACACAAGCATAACCAACAGAATTCAAGAGATTGAAGAGAGAATCTCAGATACAGAGAATATGATAGTAGAAATAAATACATCAGTCAAAGAAAATGTTGTATCGAAAAATCAAACCCTGAACATCCAGGAAATCTGGGACACTATGAAAAGACCAAACCTGAGAATAATAGGAATAGAAAAAGGAAAAGAATCCCAGCTTGAAAACCCAGAAGATAACAAAATCATAGAAGAAAATTTTCTTAACTCAAAGAAGGGCATGCTTATATAAGTACAAGAAGCTTACAGAACACGAAATATATTGGACCAGAAAAGAAGTCCTCTTGCTATATAACAATCAAAGCCCTAAACACAAGGAATAAAGAAAAGCTGCAAAGGAAAAAGGCTAAGTAACAAGGCAGACCAATCAGACTTACATCTGATTTCTCAGTGGAGATTCTAAAATACAAAAGGGCCTGGAAAGATATCTTGAAGACTCTAAGAGACCACAGATGCCAGCCCAGACTAATATACCCAGCAAAACTTGCAATCACCATAGACAAAGAAACAAAGATATATTATGAAATTTAAATTTAAACATTATCTACCCATACATCCATCCCTATAGAAGGTACTGGAAGGAAAACTCCAACCCAAGTTAGTTAACAACAACCACAAAAACACAGGCAATAAATAATCTCATACCAACAAAACCCCAAAACAGGGAAACACACACATACACACACACTACTACCACCACCACCACCAACAAAATAACAGGAATTCATAATCATTGGTCATTAATATCTCTCAATATCAGTAGACTCAATTCCCCAATAAAAAAGACACAGGCTGACAGAATGGATATGAAAACAGGATCCATCCTGCTGCTGCATACAAGAAACATACCTCAACATCAAAGTTAGACAGTACCTCAGAGTAAAGGGTTGGAAAAGATTTTCCTAACAAATGGACCAAAGAAGCAAAATGGTGTAGCTATTCTAATATCTAATAAAATAATTTTCAAACCAAATTTAATCAAAAGAAATGGAGGCTATTTCATACTCATCAAAAGAATAATCCAGTAACATGAGGCTTCAATTCTTATTATTTAACCCCCCAAAACAAGAGTACCCACAATTGTAAACGAAATGTTACTAAAGCTTAAATCACACATTGAACCTCACACATTAATCATGACAAACTTCAATGGACAGGACATCCAGGCAGAAACTAAACAAAGAAATAATGGAGCCAACAGACCTTATGACTTAAATGGACCTAACAGATATCTATAGAACATTTCATCCAAATACAAGAAAATATACCTTCTTCTCAGCACCACCCATGACATTCTCCAAAATGACCACATACTCAATCACAAAGCAAGTCTCAAAACTGAATAACCCTTTGTATTCTATCAGACCACCAGAGATTAAAGCTGGCTACCAACAACAACAGAAAGCCTACAAAGTCATGGAAATTGAACAACTCCTTACTGAACAACTATTGTGTCAAGGCAGAATTAAAGAAAAAAATGAAAGACTTCCTAGAATTCAATGAAAATGAATCCAAAACACACCCAAACTTATGGGACACAATGAAAGTGGTGTTAAGAGGAAAGTTCACAGCACTGTCTTCAAGAAATTGCAGAGATGCAACTTAACAGCATACCTGAAAGCCCTAGAACAAAAAGAAGCAGACATGTCCAAGAGCAGTAGACTGCATGAACTAATCAAACTCAGGGGTGAAAGCAATAAAATAGGAACAAAGAGAACAATACAAAGAATCAATGAAACGAAGAGTTGATTCTTTGAGAAAATAAACAAGACAGACAAACCCTTATTCAAACTAATTAAAAGACAGAGCGAGAATATCCAAACTAGCAAAATCAGAAATGAAAAGGGGGACATAACAGCAGATACTGAGAAATGTAAAGAATAATTAGGTCATATTTCAAAAACCTATACTTCACAAAATTGGAAAATCTAAAAGAAATGGACAATTTTCTCAATTGATACCACTTACCAAAGTTAAATCAAGATCAGATAAACAGCTTAAATAGGCTTATAGCTTCTATGGATATAGGAGCAGTCATTAAATCCTTCCAACCAAAAAAGGCCCAGGGCTAAACAATTTTAGCACAGATGTCTCCCAGACTTTTAAAGAAGAGCTAATACAAATACTCCTCAAATTATAACACAAAAGAGAGACAGAAGGAACATTGCCAAGTTAATTTCAAGAGGCCACAGTCATCCTCATACCCAAACCGCACAAAGACTCAACAAAGAGACTTACATACCAATTTTCCTCATTAATACTGATGAAAAAACACTCAACAAAATAAGCATAACAGAAGAATTCAAGAACATATCAAAAAGATCATCCACCATGATCACACAGGATTCATCCCAGAGATGCAGGGATGGTTCAAATATGAAAATTTGTCAATGTAATCTACCATATAAACTGAAATTAAAAAATAAACAAACACATGACTGTTTCACTAGATGCTTAAGAAAGCCTTTGACAAAATCCAACACCCCTTCATGATAAAGGTCTTGAAGAGATCAGGGATACAAGTGGCACACTTAAATATAATAAATGCTAACCTATAGCCAACATCAAATTTAATGGAGAGAAACTCAAAGCAATTCTACTAAAATCAGGAACAAGACAAGGTTGTCCACTTTTCTCAGTATCTATTCAATATAGTACTTGAAGCTTTAGCTAGAACAATAAGACAACTAGAGGAGATCAAGAGGATACAGATTGCAAAGGAAGAAGTCAAAGTGTCGCTATTTGCAGATGATAACACATATAAGTGACCCCAAAAATTCTATCAGGGAACTCCCATAGCTGATAAAACACTTTTAGTGAAGTGGCTGGATACAAGATTATCTTAAAAAAAAAAAAAATCAGCAGCCCTCCTATATACAGTCAAATCAGGAAAACCCTTCACAATAGCTACAAATAATATAGAATATCTTGGGGTAAATCTAACCAAACAAGACCTGTATGACAAAAACTTCAAGTCTTTAAAGAAGGAAATTGAAGAAGATATCAGAAGACGGAAAGATCTCCCATGCTCATGGATTGGTAGGATTAACTAAGTAAAAATGGACATCTTACCAAAAACAATCTACAGATTCAATGCAATCCCCATAAAAATCCTAATACAATTCTTTACAGACCTTGAAAGAACAATACCCAACTTCATATGGATAAACAGAAAACCCAGGATAGCTAAAAGTCTAT